CTATCCCATTCACATGTTCGGCATGATAAATGGGCCCCCTTAGAAATGGAAAGCCCAGCGCTCTATTAGCACGTGTTCTGCTTGTTCCAAATCAAGTGGTGTCTGTCCTCCAAACTGTCATTCAATGGTTGTCTGCTCCAGGCATGGTGTTTGCCACCCTCAGAGTGAGGACCCACAGTACGGCCTGGGACTGGAGTCACAGACCAAGTTGTGACTTCAGGAACATGGAGAGCTAGGCCAGTGGTTCTTAGCTGGGGATGATTATGCGTGCTGCTCCCCACACCTCACCGCCCCAGGACATCGGGCAACGTTGGGAGTAATTTCTGGTTCTCACACTAGGGTTTGTTACTGGGTAGAAGCCAGAGTTGCTGCAAACATTCTTGCATGCCCAGGATGGCCCCCACCACCAAGCATGACCCCCAACCCCAAATGGCTGTAGTGCTGGGGAAGAGAGACCCCCGGCTGGGCCCTGTCCCCCACAGTCAGCTCCGACGCCTCTGTTGTCTTCGCGTTACCCTGGCATGCACTCTGATTCATTATGCCTTTCATTTGGAGTTAATCAGCCCTTGGCCTGGGTTTTGTAGGTGCCCCAAGTGTAACAACTAGCAGGGAGGTTGGCATTCCTGATGAGGTGCACTGGGGCCAGCATTCCAAGTTCACCTGCACCAGCTTGTCCAACCTGAACACTTACCAAGTGAAAGCAAGAGTCATGTGAAGACGCCTTAATTGTCCCTACCCATCAACTTGCTTACCAAGGAGCCAGCGAGGCCTTGGAGTTAGGGCTGGCTGGCTCCCTCCCTGCTGGGACAGACCATGTACATCGGACATAAAACACAGACTCCTCTTTTTCCTTCCTTTTCCTTCTTTTTCCTTCTCTGGCCAGTGCCGGGGTGGCATGAGGTTAAGGAATCGTCCACCACACCCCTCCCTCCGAACCAGAAGAAAAACCAGCTTGTTCTAGCCTGGCTTTGTGGGAGATAGGCAGCCACTGCATTCTGAGCGCTCCTTTCCCTGACACCAGCCTGTCTGCCCACGGGGAAAATGTGCTCAGTAGCGTGGAGCGCGGCAGCCAGTGGTGAAGGACGCCCATTTCTGCTTCCCGGGTCTCGGAAACAATGGGGTTTGTGCCGAGGTTTTACATGAGTGCACCTTCCCGCCAGGGAGAGCACGCGTCACAGTTGGGGCACCACCCGCCAGGCACCCCAAACCTCCTGCAAAGTCAGGACGCCTTTAGCCGTGCCTGAGGGGAGCAGCTCAAACCTCAGAGCAGCTGCAGTTCTGTGGGGTGCCGCCTTGGCGTTTGCGCAGGGCAGGTGACCGAGGGTTTCACTGGAATCAGAGGCCAGCTCGCAAAACAAATTGTGGCTGGGAGTTTGATCTCAACACTTTTTGCCCCATAATTTATCATAAAATACAATTTCTTGAAGTGCGGAGTCACACCTGCAAGAGTGCCTGGGTGTTCCAGATGTATTTGCTGAGTGAATAAATGAGCTCAGAACTGGGAGAGCCCTCAGTCCAACCCCCTCATTTCATAGAAGAAGAATCTCGAGGTCCACGGGCTCCTCGTTGTTGCCGCAGAGCAAGGGTGTCGGTGCAGTTGGCACAGTCCTTGTGAGTCATGTGCTCATACGGATGCCCCCCAAAACATGTGATGAGCCCCCTGCTGGATCGGGCACCCTCCCCGGTCCCGTGCCCAGCTTTCTGAAAAAGAGCCCCCCAAATTGCTTAAGCTTTAAGATCCACAAAATTCTAATCATGGCCCCCGCCCCGCCAGGTGAAAAGATCAAAACAATGGGCATGGGGTCGGAGACCTCGACAAAATGTTTGAAAACGATGAAGCAGATGTTTTCGCATGTTTGACTCCATTAAGTAGGATTTTAGAGGTTTGCTTTGTCCTGTCTGTCAGCTAGTGCTGTGCCTAACACGCACACAATGCACGTTTCCTCTGCGTAAAACTGATTGAGAAACCAGGAATGTTTTATAAATGAGACACATTTTCGTCAAATTCAGTGCAATGACACCCAGCTACATAACTGATTGAACTTAATTTGAATTCGTATATGTTTTTCCTATAAAGGACCCAAGTTTCCCCATCTACTTACAGGTCTAAGAACAACAGCCTCAAGGGAGGATTCCGGACGGTGTTCCCAGGGGGCGCCGCAGAGCCCCAGCATTGGCACCAACCCTTAGTGGCTGTGCCCTGTATCGGGGGCTCCTCCTGGTGCCTCAGTTTCCTCCCTCTCAAAGACCACCTCATGCGTAGATCGATAGGGGGGACTCAAGGAGGTGGCCTGACATGTAGAAAGTGCTCAATAAATAGGAACGATTTTATTTCTCCTGACATCGTCGTCATCGAAGGTGTTGCATCTAGACCGTGGCCATCCGCTGTGGTCACCATGAGCCACATTTGGTGGCTGCAGGCCCTCGAAATGTGGTGCATCCAAACCGAGGTGTGCTGTGAGTGTTAAAATGCACACTGGACTTTTGGAGACTTGGTACAAGAAAAATAGGTTAAAAATCATCTTAATGTGTTTTCCAATTAATTACACACATTGAAACGAAAAGTCTATTGCATTGAATGATATGCAGGGCCCAGCAGAAGTCAGGCCTGCTGGAGTGTATCTGGTGAGGTCCTAACATGAGTGCGGTCATTTCTAGTTTTAATTTGAACATCGTACCTCACATGCCGTAGGGTGAGCTTGAGTGGAATGTTGTTCTGTTGGAGAATCACATGCTTATGATTCTGCAATAAAAAGCTTTGTAATAAAAGGGATATTATTTGTGCCAGACCCTGAATATTTAAATTTTAGCTTTTTCTTCCTACTTGTTTACCAGCCTGGCTTCTGGAAAATGTTTGGTGACGCACGTGTCCACACGCCAGGGCTGGACGGACCACGCACAGAACATGTGCACCATGAGGGCCCAGAAATGTGCTGCGTGTTTGCTGAAAACTGCCAAGCATCTCCCAGTCTCCTCCCTTCCAGCCCTCTCATCTCAGGCCCAAACCCTTTCCTCCTCTGAACAGTTGGCTTTCATAGATTGAAAGAATAAGCATCTAGACAAACACAGATTTAATCGGCTTTCGGGCCTTTCTCCTCTGGCCAAGGGGAGGAACGATGGACGCATAAATCTGCCTCCAGTATATCGAGCGAGATCCGGTTCCTCACTCTCAGAGAGCCACAGGGAAGCGGTCCCCACACTTGCTGTGGCTTCTCAGCGGCGTGGGGCCAACATTCAGCACCGTTGTCACGGGCAGCGCTTGGCCGAGTGCGTCTTCCACCAGCGGTTCCCAGCTCTGTGCCCCAGACACACGCTCGTGGTAACAGATGTTCTCCAAAATAAAACAGCATTCTGTGGTCCATTAAGCTCTGAAAACTCGGCATCCACAACATGACTTCCTGTGCACATTCCCCCTCAAAGTGTCTGGAAACTCCCACTACGAGCAGGCCCGACTCATACTGACAACCCACAACCACTCAGGTTTATCGGACCGCAGAGCCCTTTCATCAAAGGACGTTTGTAAGACCCCGAACTCCACATGGGCGGCAGTTGCAGGGACAGTCTCTCAAATAGTGGCTATGATCCGCTCCCCAGAGTACTAGTTTTTAGGGATAGCGAGCCGAAACTGTCCCTTTGAAAAGGGTTGGGACAGTATTGTATACCGAACACGTCTGTTGGAGGACATGGTAGATAAGTGTGCTTCTCTTACAAGAGTGAAGGGGAAAGAGGAATAATGGCTGCTGGGCAAGTGCGTCCCCTCTTATTAGCCAGTCCTTATTCTTGGTTTGTAGAAGGGCACTGGGAAAGGAAGCCTTGTTTGGGTAAGTAGAAGAAGGACCGAACGACACAGGGTCTGCCTCGCGTGTGTACTTACTTATAATTGGTCTATTTCCTGCAAGTAGTTGAGACGTCTTATGACAGGTACAAACACAATAGAGCCCGTCCACAGAGACGGACCTCCAGAGAGGTCACAGTGATGCAGCCACGTAAGAGAGGGGGACCTCTTAGCAACTGCACTGGCCGGCGGGGGCTGCCACCACTCAGTGGGAAAACCAGCTCTGAGCCCCCAGCTGCAGAAAGGGCCTTGGCAAGGCCGTGGTCCCAGCTCCTGGCTTGGTCGTCACCGCAGTCACAGTATGCCTGCCAGCTCTGGGGAACCTCCTTGGGGTACCTCCTGGAACACCTGGTCATGGCGGATTTCAGCATGCAGGGCTATGCCCTCCTGCCGTGTTCCTGTGCAGAAAAACTTCTTAGTGAGAAAGGCTCGAAAAGAAACCTAATGCACTCAGCCAAAATGATTTTCAAATGAAAAATGTATTTCTGTACTGGATTTGACTGGCTGCTTTTACAAAATTGAAATTGGCGTCAAATTTATCTGTGTGCAGCCATATATGTGAGAAAGGGGTCATTGCCAAAATATATAAAGAATCATACAACTCAATAACAAAAAACAAAGAACAAATAATTCAATTAAGTCACTGGCAAAGAATCCAAATAGATATTTTTTTCAGGGAAGACACACAAATGGTTAACCGGTAAGGAAAAGGTGCCCACATCAGGGAAATGCAAATTAGGACCACAATGAGGTATCACCTCACACCTGTCAGAATGGCTACCTACCAGCCCTCAAAAGGGCAAGAGAAGTGTTGGCGAGGATGTGGACAAAAGAGAACTCTTATGTACTTGGTGGGAATGAGAATTGGTGCAGCCTTTACGGAAAACAGTGTGAAAGTTTCTCAAAAAATTAAAAATAAAACCATCGTATAATCCAGTAGTCCCACTTCTGGGTATTTATCCAAACCGAATTAATCAGTATCTCAAAGAGAAACCCGGCCTCCCACATCCACTACATCAGGATTCACAACAGCCCAGATACAGAAACAACCTAAGTGGGGTAGACAGATGACTAGATAGAGAAAATGTGACACATTGAAATATCGTTCAGCTATACAAAGAAGGAATTCCTGCCATTGTGGCAATGTGGATGGACCTGGAGGATGTTATCGAAAGTGCAATAAACCAGGCAGAGAATAATAAATACTGTATAATCTCATTTATGTGTAGAATCTTTAAAAAATAATAACAACAATAAGGTTGAGCTTGTAAAAATAGTAGAGTTGTGGTCGCCAGGAGCTGGGCGGTCGAGGGAAGTGGGAGACGTTGGTCAAAGGTGTGGACTCTCAGGTAGAGGGTGAATAATTTCTGGTGATCTGGTGGGCGGCTCCGTGACTGTGGTTAGTGAGACTGTACTGCATCCTCGGACTTGGCCGAGAGAGCGGACCTCAGCTGTTCTCAGCACACACACACAGTTGCATGGTGATAGAAGGGTTCGAAGACAAAACCTGTGTGTTTTATGACCCAAGCACATATGACCACATGGCTAGAAAATAGTTACTCAAAACTGTATTAACATACTCATTAGCTAGGAAAATATCCCATCGAGGAGCAGTATACTGTCTGTGTGCATTATAATGAAGTAAGGGATCAATTATTGAGGGGACATCTTTAACATATCTTTTGCTGACAGGGATGATGAGCAAAAATATTTAGCTCCTGCCGTCCTAGCTCGTCTCCAGCTTTCAGATCATAAAGAGGGACACACGCCTGACACTGGGGCACCATGTGGCTAGTAGGTGACAAGCAGTGTGAGCTGGTCAGGGCCCTGCATGGAATGTGAGTTGTGAGCACTGATGAAGTCAGCAAAGTTTAGGTAAACACTGCCCCATGGCCTTTGGGTGACCTTGACCCTGACTGCCGTTTACCTTTGGAGATACAAAAATCCAACTTTGTTCCATGGCAGAACCTTCCACGCTGCCTTTCCGGTGGTTTTGTCTGTTTGTGTTTTTGTTCACAGATTTTCGTGGAGCCAGTAGAGTAGTTTATGGACAGACGGGACTCACCTGGGGCTGCGTTTCTCATGGACGTGTGGCCTTGGGCGGGATCAGGGTCAGACTCCTCAGCCCAGGAATGCAGGTGGCACTGAGTGGCAGCCTGCAGATCAGGGCAGGCGTTTGCGGTCACTATGTGGCTCTGTCCCCAGCACGGTCGAGCAAAGCCCCGTTGCAGCGGACTCAGAATTCAGACACACAGAAAGACAAACGAAATGGCCTAGAACAAACTTTCTTCTTTTGAATGAGTAAGAATTCCAACAGTGTAAAGTGCCGGAGGGTCTCAGGAAGAAGCTGTACATCCAGCAGGCACCGTCTGTCACTGAAGGAAATCCAGGCCCTTAACCCAAATGACAGGATGAGCCTACCACACACCCAGCCCCGCAAGGCTCCCCCGTTCCCTTTCTCAAGTGGCTCCCCGGCTGCCTGCCCCGCCGAGGGGACACTGTCCACTGTCCCGAGTGGAAGGGGCGTCTGCCGCGTGATGGGCTGGGTGTTGGACTTACACCACAAAGCAGAAACACCGCAACAGCAGACGCTGCCGCCTGGACGTGGAGCTGCCGCCTGGACGTGGAGCCGCCACGGTTAAATCTTTTCTGCCAGCACTCGCCGAGGCCGGCTGTCCTCGGGCTGCTGCAGGGGCGTCTGGGAAACATAGAGGGCAACACACATTTAAATCAACCCCAAACACGTTGCCTTTTGTGGTCCTTATCTGTGAAGACGCCTGACCCTCTGCACACCGCGTGGCCGTTCAGGGCGAGCGGTCTCCGCTGTGTCCTCGGGACCCAAAGCTTAGCTTCGTTCTCTGCATTCAGACTTCACAGGGGTCACATCGCCTTTCCCACTTGCTCACCCCGTCCATTCGAGCCAGCACACCTTTCCGCAAGACTTCATCTATATTTAACATTTAAAAAAACACCCTGTTCTGAGTGTGTGTTGTGCTTAAGACTTACCCACTTCACTCCCCACGAGTTTTAAAGTAAACAGGCGTGGTCTTGTTCGTGATACGAGATATTCGACAAGTACCAACAGTTACACACACACTCACACTCACGGTTTGACAAGAATAAGAAGTCTGAAAGGCAGTTTGACGTTCTTTTCTTCATCAGAAGACATGTTTAGTAGCTGGGAGTGATTCGTGTGGGCAGGGCTGGTTCAGACATCCCGCGGCCTTTACAGAACGGGGCACCGGTGTCCCGAGGGGACGCGGTCAGGTGACCTCAGGGCAGTCAGTGCGGAGTGGGGATCACAGCCTACATCTGGGACCTCGGTCTGTGGGTGGCTCCCAGAGGAGGGGAGAGGAGACTCCAGGCTGAAGGACACTGCTGTGTCCACTGCTAGGAGCGGCTAGCTTCCTTCTCTCTAAAGGGACAGCTGCCCTGCAGACTGACGGAGCCCACGGGGACAGCAGCGACAGGGCCAAAACTCAAAGTCCAAATGTTACGTGTTTTCAGCCCTTTGGAGTACGTGGAAGCAGTATTTACTTTCGGTAGTACGCTGTAGCAGCATGAAGTGATTGCGTTTTCCTAGTATGATATTATGTGACCTTTCACACTCAGATGAGTAGAAGCAGGAGTCCCATGCGCATTACATGTTAGGATACGATCTTTAGAGACTGGCCGTCGGAACGGTGATCATTGACATCCCCAGAGGAAGCTGTGCCCCAGGTTTATAACCCAAATCGCATCGTGGCTCCGTGAAGACCCCAGCTGCAGGGGCCTCCTGCAGCACCCGCCCTGGGAGGTTAGACCCGGGCCCACCTGCGGATTCGAGCCGGCATCAGATTTAAACTCTAGCTCTAGAGAAGGGCATCCGCGGCCTCTTTCCTAATTAGTTTTTCACAATGGGGTGGGGCATTCCTTAGCATCAGGTCCTCACTTTCTCCTCTCCTCTTCCTCCCTCAGACCCTCCCCTCGTCAGCAACCACCAAGGCCTCTTGCTGTCCCCACCCATAGTCACCCAGCATCACCCTCCAGGGGCTGCAGGAGCCAAACCCCGGGTCCAGCCAGGCTGGTGTCAGGAGCAGGCCAGCCGGGAGCGGGCAGGATTCTAATGTATAAAATGATAAACTCGGAGTGTCCACAGTCCAGACGTCAGACCTTCAGTACCTTCAGAACCCATCCATCATCCGGGTAATAACGGGAGTGAGAGTCATCCTGCCCCACACTAGTGTGTCCCACTCAAAGCCACCTGAACGCCGCTGTCCCCAGAAACCTCAGGGCGATTGTCGAACTCAGGTGTGTGGGTCCCCGAGATGAAGGAAAGGGGCAGCCAGGTAGAGAAGTGCATTGGCAGCAGGGATGTGCCAGCCTGGCTTCTGCATGTGATAGTCCCCGTAAGTGGCCCAGGAGCACCTGGCAGACAGGGCCTATGGACAGGCAGGCCTGTGGGGCGTCAGCGGCTGCCTTGGGGACGCTGGGGCCTGTGGCCTGCGCTGTGTCGAGCAGCAGACAGAAGTGGGGGAGCTGTTCTGGAAAACGGCAGGTGAGAGCTCTCGACTCCTCCCGACTTCTTGTTTCTGGGTCACCCCAGCAGCCCAGCTCTCTCGAGATCTCCAGGACAGAGGGAAGTCGTGGCAGGGAGAGAGGACGAGGCGGGAAAACCTGGTTCCCAGCCTCGGGGGCTCCCCTCTCCCATCTCTAAAGCAGTGCCCTCCAACCCCCCAGGGAGACACGTCCGAGGAGGAAGCTGTGGTTTCAGCTTTCTACCTCCCAGAGTGAACCTGCCTTTCCCGGGTGAGGGAGCAAACGCGGCCGGGTGCACATTCTTCAGGGCAGAGCATTTTAATTATGACCAGTTTAATGAGTATATTGCTTATTTAAGGAAAATCCCTGTGGTTCCCTGACATGCCTCTATGGCACAACTCGGCGTTGGAGTAAATAAGACTTCACGGCCCGAGTCCGGCAGGAATTCACTTCTCAAGTGACCACAGGGAGGGAGAGATGCGTCTCTGGAAACGAGACCAACCACGCAGCCGAAGTCGCTGTCAGCGGGCCCAGAGTGTGGTCTCGGCCCCAGAGGCCCGCGCCTGGCCCAGCCGCGGCACACCCCAGGCTTCGGTTGGCCCGAGGCATCTTGTCTAGACCATTCTGCGACGGGGTGTCTGGTGGCCGTGTCTGAAGTTTTTCAGTCCTGAGCGTCCCTGGAGCTGCCTCCCTGCAGAGCGTGTTTTCTGCCAGAACAGCACCCGTGTCCACTGGGAGCTCAGTTTACACGGCTTTCCATCTAGAACCGGCACTGTCAGCCGGCCATCTCCGTTCCTGGGCGGGTTGGGAGGGACGTGGCTCACGTAATTAATTGTTGGCTGACCAGGGCCAGAAAGCAGAGGTGACAATTAAAATTCAAAGGCTGGCAGAACGGGAGTCCGAGAATTCCAACCTCCCCGCCCGGTGGGCTTGCCCACTCCTGTCCCCAGCCCAGCTGGTGCCCCAGGTAACCTCAGTGGGGTGGCACATTTCCGAGGAGGACATTTGATTCCCGGCCGTTCCCTTCAGGTGATTCACATGAACTCATACTCTTTTTTGTTTTTTCTTTTTGCTCTTAACTGATCTGTGCCACAATGAACTGGTTTTGTCCGAAGCAGACAAACTAGATTCCCCAGGGACTGCGCCGATCTCAGTCTCTAAGAAAGAGCTTTCTTTCCCCCCAAGTTGCCAAAAGGACAGGTTCGCTCGCTCCCTCCCTCTGGGTTGCCCAGGGCAGTCTGTGTCTGGGACTGCTGTCGGCTGGGGACGAGGGAGGGTCGTCTTCCAGGCCACCTGTCCTGTTCCTCCTCCACCCTGGACCCCTCACCCCATCCCACCCCTGTTCTGGAAGCACTGAACGTTGCCAGTTACACCTGGCACCGCACACTTCTCTCCCTCAGACGCCCAACCCGCGCGCCGCAGGTCCCCTGGGCCAAGGATCCAGGCTCTGGCCAGTAGCAAGGACCTGGCCGTGCTAGCTCCACCCCCAGCTCAACCTTAGATGACCTTGAGCAGATTCCTCAGCATTTACCCCTGTGTGGCCCTCCCTCTGGCGGGTGCAGGATAGAAAGCCTCCCGGGAGGACTGAGAACCATTTTAAAGACAGAGGAAGGGCCGTGTTTGTCCAGCAGGAGTGGCGTGGCTCTGCACAGAGAGGGCTTGCATTTAGCCACACAGGACACTCCTCTAGTGCCACATGCATGGTCCTGGCTTCCCCGTGGGGACCGGGGCTCAGGGAGAGGGAAGGGTTCCCGCCTCACTCTAGGTGGGTCAGACGACAGTACGCTCAGTGTTCAACACAGACGCAGGGTGCCTGTCGTCCCAAACCTGCGGACACTTCATCTGAAGACGCCAGGCTGCAGCCCGGTGTCTGTCGGTGCCCAGGGCATTGAGAGTGACACTCCTTACAGCCTGGCTGCGGGTCCTTGTATTTCCTCGTGGCGACGGCCCTTCCGTTTTCCCTCCAGGATCCTCCCCACTCCATCCTCAGCCCTCCCCTGTCCTGGTCCTCGGTGCTCTGCTCCCCGTCCCTGGTGAAGGCCTCCTCTGACCCACGGGTGGGAGTACCGCCACCCACCCTGCCACACACTTGTACCCTTGTTTCCGAGCCTCTTGGAGACTGAACGGCAGCCCCGTAACACGCCCAGATCAGCTTGTCCACATACACCTCCCGCCACCTCACTCTGACGAATCAGTCTCTTCTCACACACCCCAGGGCTGTCCCACCCGTCCGGTCCCCCCACTTCACCAGCCCTGTCCTGGGGATTCCCGGCGTGGCCGTCTCGGGGCTGCCCCCGCTGTCGTTCATGAGGATGGTCGTAACTGCTTCCTTCTCCCTGCTCTGCCTTAGATATCCCCCCCCACGGTGTCCCCAGAGCCATCTCGGAAATGGCCCAGGAAGCTGGGAAACATCCTGACCCTGGCCCCATTCCCCGAGAATCCGCTCTGTACCATCTGAGATGGGCTTACGGGTGCCATCACCAGCTCTCCGGTTGGCCATATGCAGATGGGAACACTCCAAAATGTCTCAAAATGCCAATCTGGTCACATTAGCAGCTCCTGAATTTTTTTTTTTTAGGTAGCCCTGTTTACCTGCAGTTCAAAACAAAACATCTGAAGTCAGTGCACACCTGCGCACGTGGGCATCCACTCCTGCAGCCCATGGGCAGTATTCAGGAACCGTAGTTGTGTGTAACAGAATGTGTGCACAGCGGTACACGTGTTACTTCCCTCCTAACTGCACAACATGCCCGGCCTAGTCACCAGCTTCCTCTGTCTCGCCTTTTCCTCTCCTCCCCACAGTCCCCGCCCCTGCACGCCCTCCACCTGAGACAGACACCAGGTCACTGCCACAGACAGAGCGTCCTCTTGAACTCAGTTGGGTTTGAGGGCTTAACTCTTGGCTACATGCATTTTCTCTTAGTTTTCCACCAACTTACAGGCAGTTTCTTTAGCTTCGTGAGCTCACATTTGCTCAGCCCGGTGCTCAGCACACCTGAGTGTACGGCGGACAGCTTCCGGGAGCCTCAGAGCCCTCTTCCGTACCCTGCTGGGCCCCTCCGCTCGGAGTGTGTGTTCGCCCTTCATGATGGGTTTACTCCCCAACACCCTGAAACAAACCCGAAAGCTGACTGAGGTCCTTGGCCACCAACAAGTGACTCACAAAACGTGGGAAGCCAGCTAGGCCCGGGCAGCTCGAATAAAGGCGTCTTGTGATTCTCTAGCAATTTGGGCAGTTTAAGAGTTTTATGGGAAGCTCATGAGTATTTTCAGCATTTAAATAAAATCATCCTATGTTTACATGTAGGGTGGCACCTGGCAAATTAAAGGGCTTGTTTGATGTCATAGTCGGGAAGCAGCGACCAGAGCTTTTATATCATCCCTAAGATCCACATTTTGGACCTGAAAATCCATCTCCACTAATTTTCAAACCAGTGATAGTCAGGATCCAACTCGTTTGCAGAAAACCCCCTCGGCCTTGTCACTGCACAGAGTGCTTTGAACATGGGAGATGGCCAGAATGGAACTTGACCTCACGCGTCTGCTGCGGCTCCCCTTTCACCTGCCGCCAGAACTCCACGCGGTGGTTGTGCCTGCCACAACTAACTGCCAGGCACGTTGGCCAACTCTCTGAATCAGCACGGAAAGTTTTAATGTCAGGTTCAGCTGCAGGTCAGAAGTCCGTGTTCCCTCGGTCGGTCTGTCGCCCGATCCTCGGATGGAAAACCGTCAGCTCTTGGTGTGGAAACAATTTTCTTGAAGGCGATATTTGTTGAGTGACTGAGGGGATGAAAAGGCACAAATTGCATAAGTGTGAAAAAGACTTGGGTGTTTCAGTTGGCTACAAGTTCAATATGAGCCAACAACAGCGTCACACGGAGGGCCGAGTTCGTTAATAAAAGTACAGTGTCCTGAATTCAGAAGGTAGTCATCTGGCCATGCCCCGTGCT